TCTCTCTCTCTGTCTCTCTCTCTCTCGGCACAGATTAGCCGGTCTAATGTGCTAAGACTCTTCAGAGAGTCCGTCAGTGTTGGACGGCGGCGGCAGCGACAGTAACAGTAATATATTCTCCAGTGCTCTTCATTGTCCTGTGTGTGATGTCACAGACCGTAATGTGTTGCGCTGATGAACGATGAAGACACCTGGTCTTCGCTCCCGTCTCCTCACCTGATCGTCCAGTGATCGTTCCTGGTGTTTAGATGTTTGACAGGTGCACGTGGCTTGGAACACATTTTTGCTTTAGGACTTTGAGTCATGGACCAGAGAGGAGTCCACCAGGTCCACTGTTGGATGAAGACCTTGGTACAAAGACAGTTAAGAATAGAATTAAATAGAATAGAATGGACCTTCATCGTTCATCTAGGGCTGAAGATTGTCTTCCACTCAGCAGACTGTTTAGTTAGACTCCAACTGAGGCCGATTTCAAAATCACAAAGAAGTGACGTTTACATTAAAAAGATAAAAGTATGTGTGTGTTGATGACTTAGATCAGGGGTATCAAACATGTGGCCCGCAGGCCAAAACCGGTCCCCTGGGGGGTTCAATCTGGCCCGCTTGATGAATTTTGAAATTGAGAAGAAAAATGCACATATTTCATTAAATATGAAATATGAAATATTTTTTAATAAACTTGAACTTATTTGCATGAAAATGAAATTTAACCCAATGCTGAGGAAAGAAAGAAAACCCAGACTCCATCTCTAACTTGTTGCTGATTGAAACGTGTTTTTTTCCGCAGAATTGACTGAATATTTTCTCATTTTTAAATATTAAACCTGACGCGCCATCAACGCGTTCAAAGTCACTTAACTCATTTTGGAGCTCGTTAGCATCGTCATCAAGTCCATGCGTTTACACGCATTCACTCGCTGTCATGTGATTGGCTAATTATACATGTGCATCGACAGGCGGTTTAAACTGTTAGCGGTCGCTGTAAGTCTTCATTCCCCTGATGAACGTCGGTCCTCCGTGCGTTCCCGCCCTCACACTAACTCATCGCACTAACTCATCCCACTAACTCATCGCACTAACTCATCGCACTCACTCATCGCACTCACTCATCGCACTAACTCATCCCACTCACTCATCGCACTAACTCATCCCACTCACTCATCGCACTAACTCATCGCACTCACTCATCGCACTCACTCATCGCACTCACTCATCGCACTAACTCATCGCACTAACTCATCGCACTAACTCATTGCACTAACTCATCGCACTAACTTTTCAAACACACGACTGTTCCAGTGAATATTGAGGCCCGTTGATCCGTGTGATTATTTCCCCCCGGTGGCTTTATCCGTCTGCACGCGCTAAAAAATACGAACGTGTTTAACTGCGTAATCCACATCCTCGCTCTCTCTTTACTCCACATGATTAAAAGCCTAACAAATGCTCTCGCCCGTTTATTACACACAAGGAAGCCTGTAATGGTTAAGGATAGACGGGGGTTAAAGCGGGCCGTCAGAGCCCAGACAGGAGAGTAGATTATGGAAATCCTTAGTTAAACAGAATGAATTCTCTGGGGGGCTAGGAAGGTAGGTGGATGAGGAGGGGTCGAGTGGGGGGGGCGGGGGGGGGGGGGGGGGGGCAGCTCAAGTGATGTGGAGGTTGTAAATAAATCCTCTAAACAGCAGCTCTTAAAATATGAATGCTGGGGCAAAGGAGCGGGGCATTAATGTGCTGAGTGCAGGCGTATCAGAGGTAGCCATCGTGTGATGGTTGTTAATGCAGGCGACGCTTACAAACGCCCGGCGTATAAAGACACGGAGGAAATAGAGCGTGACCGCCACTGACCACGGTTAAACTGTGAGAACCTCGTCAGTGAGACGTCGTTCAACTCTGACCTCAGGTCACAAAAAGGAACGAGGAAAAAAATACTGTTTTAAAAACAGGCCAAAAAAAATCAGTCTTTACCATATCTGGGACCAGTGTTTTGTGGGCCAGATTAAATAGCCCAGTGGGCCATATTTAGCCCACGGGCCTTAGTTTATCAAAGTCTACCCTAAACTGTTTTTTATGACTGTTTTCACCTGTTGTCACATCCTCTGAGAATATGACGGGAAATTACTGCTAACTGGGAAAAAGATTAAATATTAGCATGTTAGCTTAGCCTCACATACCAGGTTCTGATCATTATTATTATTTATTGTGTTTCTCCTCATGTTGTCTGCATTGGTTATTGTGCGTTGGTTGCTGTGTTGACCTGTCCCGTCTATTTCCTCACCAGGACCAAGTGAAAATGGCGGAGGGTTCCAGAGATCAGGCAGCAGGGGGGGCCACAGATCCTGAGGAGGACTCCCCGAATATGATCGTCTACAGAAAGGTAAGAGTGTTTGTTGTAGAGAAACGACTGGTGGACACCGTCCCGACAGCCCACTGGTCTGTATCGGGGTGAGTTTATGCCACGTGTGGTTTGACTGTCACATTTAAACTTCACTTCCACTTAAAGCCGTCAGATTGTGATTTGGCTGCTGCCATCCAACCCTGTATGACTGGATCTGGACTTCCTGTATATATGAAGTAAAACATCAGGCGTCACATCCAGTTTTCATCGCATGTTTTACTCTTAATATGTGCTCTCCCAGCAAATCTCTCAAAGGCAACAGTTGGACAGTGCTGTGTGTACGACTTACACAAAGATTATTGCCATAAACTAACCAAAACAAGCGGCCATCTTTGTTTACAACTTTGTTTTGCGAATAACTTGTTGTTGTCACTTTGGCGGACGGTGTCCGTTATTGCCTGCAACGTATGTACAACTTTATTAAGACTAGTCCAATCAAAAAGTTTCGTTAACTTACGATAACGATAACTGTCTTATTCAGTATAAAACCTTGTCTTGTTTAGTTAAACACAACACTGATGATAGATGTTGACAGGAATTGAAGAAAGACAAGACAAAAAAAGATCTTTTTCAATAGCCGCTCTCTTTTTTTTTTGGCCCTTAGTGGAACAGTATTTAATTTTTCTGCTGTTTTTTTTTTTGCTTACGGGCCAAAATGAGCTTCAGTTCAGTATTAGTTGGATATGAAATGCTTGACAAAATAATTTAAATAAAATGTACAAGAATAAACCTATACTTTCAAAGATAATTTGGCGTAGTTGATGTCTACTGCCACCTAGTTGATTTATTATAGAATAGAATAGTCTTTATTGTTATTGTAACACAACAAAATTGGAGAATTTACAAAGTATTTAGCAGAGGATGGTTTCGATCCATCGACCTCTGGGTTATGGGCCCAGCACGCTTCCGCTGCGCCACTCTGCTCATGATGTGTGAAACAGAAGGATTGGCATCAGTTGTCACCGTACCTTTTACCAATGTTTGGCGGCCTGGATTAGACAGCCCATCGGGCCATATCTGGGCCGTGGGCCATAGTTTGCCCAGATCAAACATAGACGAACAGACGGTAAATTAACAAGATTAAAGACCTATGAAGCGAAACTGG